GCAGCTGCAGCAGCAGCAGCTGCAGCAGCAGCAGCTGCAGCAGCAGCAGCTGCAGCAGCAGCAGCTGCAGCAGCAGCAGCTGCAGCAGCAGCAACAACGGCACCAGCAGCGTAAAATTCATATTACTGCGGGCGGTCTTGTGAGCCGCTGCTTTTGCTGCTGCTGCTGTTGCAGCTGTGTCCACAGTGGCCGCTGCAGCGGCAGCAACAGATTTATGCCGCTGCTGCTGCTGCTGCTGCTGCTGCGACCTTTAGAAAAAAGATCAGTAGCAGTAGCAGCAGCAGCAAACTTGCATGTATGCACTCCGGACTACTGAGCCTTAACCGCCTCAGCTAACTGGCTGCTACCTACTTCATTCGTTACCCAGCTAGCTACCCAGCTAGCTACTCAGCTAGCTACCTAGCTAGCTACTCAGCTAGCCAGTCAGCTAGCTTCTCTGCTAGCTAGCTACCCATCCAGCTACCCAGCGAGCTAGCTCAGCTAGCTCCCCAGCTAGCCACTCGGCTAGTTGCTCAGCTAGACACCCAGCTACATACCCAGCTAGATACCCAGCCAGCTTCTCAGCTAGCTCCTCAGCTAGCTACTCAGCTGGCTACTCAGCTAGCCATTGAGCTAGCTACTCAGCTAGCTACAACTACTCACGTAGCGGTAGGGCAGGCCTTGTGGCGAAAAGCCCATTGAAGACTTCGAGGCTACCAAGGCGTTCAGTGTGGCTCCGCTGGGCAGCCAGCTAGCTAGCCAAGTGGCTAGCTGGGTAGCCAGCTAGCTGGCCAAATGGCTAGCTGGGCAGCCAGGTAGCCAGATGGCTAGGTGGATGGCCAGCTAGCTGGCCAAATGGCTCACTGGGCAGCCAGCTAGCTAGCCAGCTGGGCAGCCAGCTAGCTAGCCAGCTGGGTGGCAGCTAGCTAGGTAGCCACTGGCCAGCTGGGTGGCCAGCTAGCTAGTCAAATGGCTGGCTGGGCAGCCAGCTAGCCAGCTAGCTGGCTAGCTAGCTAGCTAGCTAGCCCGCCGCTGGCTGCGCAGCTAACGATTTAGGCAGCTGCTGGGCTTGCAAATACCCGGATAGCTAGCTAGCTAGCTAGCTAGCCACCTAGCTCGCTAGCTAGCCAGTTGGTGCTTGCTGCGTCATTGTGGCTTTTGCTGCTGCAGCTGCTGGACTCCCTAGAAGCAACTCAGCTAGGCGTAAGCAAAGACAAGAAAAAAACAGCAGAGACAAAAAAGCGGCTCGCAGCAAGCCGCACACGCTCACACAGAACTAGCCCAGCCTGCTGCAGCAGCAGCAGCAGAACAGCAGCAGCAGCAGCAGCAGCCGCTGCTGCTGCTGTTGCTGCTGCGCTTGCTGCTGCAGCCGCAACAGACGCTGCAGCTGCTGCTTTACTTGTGGTCCAGCAACTCCGCCAGCAGCAAACCAGCAGCCAAGCCTCCCGTTGCTGCTAGCATGCCCCCAGCAACAGCAGCAGCAGCACCTGCTTCTCTATTTGCTGCTGGCGGCCGCCGCAGCCTTCGAATGCGGCGCCCCAAGTACTGGTTTGTGTTTGGGATGGGCGTTGTCAGGCTGAGCAGCAGCAGCAGCAGCAGCAGCAGCAGCAGCACGAGCAGCGGCAGCAGCAAACCTCAACAACACCCAGTGGCAGCCGGCAGCCAAACGCTGCAGCAGCACAGCAGCGGCGACGGGGCAACAGCCACAGCGACAGAGCAGCAGCAGCAGCAGCAGCAGCAGCAGCAGCAGCAGCAGCAGCAGAACTCCTCTGACCTGAAGGGTCTGTTGAATTCAAATCTTTGGGAAGAAGAGAGCTGCGGGCGCTGAGAGAGCCCGCGCTGCTTCATGCTGGCGGCCAGAGCCTGAGCACCAGCAGCAGCAGCAGCAGCAGCAGCAGCAGCAGCAGCAGCAGCAGCAAATGAATGTAGTCAGGTAAGGCCTCGACACACGAGCCACCATCAGCGATCACGGCTGCAGTCACCACATGCGGCGCGGATATCCGCAGCAGAAGCAGCAGCAGCAGCAGAAGCAGCAGAAGCAACTACGAAACCCAGCAGCAGCAGCAGGCGGGTCTTGCTGCTTGTATGCAGCAGCAGCACCGCAGCGTGGCCAGCAACAGCATCCCTATTCGCGGCCTCCGCAGCAGCAGCATCGACTGCAGCAGCAGCAGCTGCTGCTGCTGCAGCTGCCGCCTTCGCTCTCGCTGCTGCTGCTGCAGCAACAGCAGGAGCCGCTGCTGCTGCTGCAGCTGCCGCCTTCGCTCTCGCTGCTGCTGCTGCAGCAACAGCAGGAGCCGCTGCTGCTGCTTCTGCTGCTGCTGCCGCAGCAGCAAGTGGCAGCTCACATCCATTAGAGAAGGATAGGAATGGGAAAACGGCATTTGAGTTAATGCAGAAACAAAAGCTGTTGTCATGGCCCCTCCAGCAGCTCTTTGAATTCCTTCGCCCCGCAGATCAGCAGAGGTCTGCCCGTCCTCGCAGCTGCAGCAGCAACAAGCAGCAGCAGCAGCAGCAGCAGCAGTCCGCAGCAGCAGCAGCAGCAATCCGCAGATGCAGCAGCAAATCCCCAGTGCTGCACCCGAATGACGAAACGAAAACTCTGCAGGTAAGGGTTACAAACTGCAGCAGCAGCAGCAGCAACACGGAAACACGAACAGCAGCAGCAGCAGCACACAAACAGCAGCCGCACCCAAACAGCAGGGCCAGAGGAACAGCAGCAGCACGAGCACCCGAAGAAGAGCAGCAGCACCAGCAGCACAGCAGCAGCACAGCAGCACCAGCAGCACAGCAGCAGCACAGCAGCAGCACAGCAGCAGCACAGCAGCAGCAGCAGCACAGCAGCAGCAGCAGCACAGCAGCAGCAGCAGCAGCAGCAGCAGCAGGCCGGACCCGCTGAAGAGCTGGACGTCTCCCAAGACGTAGAAGGGGTTGACTTCTTCAGTCCATTTGAAGTCTTTTTGACTCCAAACAAAAGACAAGTCCAAACCCGAGCCCGAGTGGCAAGAGTCCATAACTGCTGTCAGCCGGCAGCCCGAGGGCAGCGGCTGCACCAGGTACGCGTGCAGCTGCGCAGCAGCAGCAGCAGCAGCAGCAGCAGCAGCATGCAGCAGCAGCAGCAGCATGCAGCAGCAGCAGCAGCAGTAGCATGCAGCAGCAGCACGCGGCACGCCCGCGCCGCAGGTGCGGCGAAGCGCAGCGGCAGCCAAACGGCAGCCGTGCAGCCGCCAGCAGCAAACCAGCAGCGCAGCAGCAGCAAGGCAGCAGTGGAGCAGCAGCACAGCAGCAGCAGAGCAGCTCGACAGCAGCTACAAAGCAGCAACAGCACAGCAGCAGCAGCGCGTTGGAACTGCAGCAGCGAAGCGGCGGCGTAGCAGCACAGCAGCAGCAAAGCAGCTGAGCAGCAAAGCCGGCTTGATGAGCAGTAGGGGCAGTGCAGCCGAGAAGCAGCAGCAGCAGCAGCAGCTGCAGCAGCAGCAGCAGGGCAGGCCGGTGCAGCAGTAGCTCCATTTGGAACTAAGCAGCAAGAGAAGTCGGCAAAGAATGCTGCAGCGTTTTGCCGGGGCTGCTGCCTCTGCTGCTGCTGCTGCTGCTGCTGCTCCTGGCAGCTGCCGGCAGCTTAGCCATAAGCAGCATGACTTCTGCTGCTGCCGCTGCTGCTGCTGCCACAGCCACTGCTGCTGCAGCAGCCTTTCTCCCTGCCCCTGCCCCTGCTCCTGCCCCGCCACAGCCACTGCTGCTGCTGCCGCTGCTGCTGCTGCCGCTGCTGCTGCTGCTGCTGCTGCTGCTGCTGCTGCTGCTGCAGCAGGGGGCGCACCTCGTCGTCGACGATTTCGCCTGCTGCTTCGAAGTCGAGGGGCAGCACAGTCTCGTCGTAGCCGTCAGCTTCGACTCCGCTGGGGTCTCTTCTTCGAGAGCCGTGTCCGGAAAAGTGGAAAAAGAGACTGTCTCCCGGAGCTGCTCCTTCCGTCAGCCACCGCATTGCCTGCAACCCGCGCCGCAGCAGGGACCCGTTAGCAGCAGCAGCAGCAGCAGCAGCAGCACAGCAGCAGCAGCAGCAGCACAGCAGCAGCAGCAGCAGCAGCAGCAGCAGCAGCAGCAGCAGCAGCAGCAGCAGCAGCAG